GAGTTGCACACCGTTAAGCACCCACAATATATAAATGATTTTTTTTTTTTTTTACTAGTAGAATGAAATTTTATTTGCTTTAGGGATTGGCTTCATATAATATATAGCTGAAAATGAGTTTGTGTTTAATTCACCAACCGATTATGACATTTTTATGTTAAGGAACAGTAATGTGAAGATTTTAATGGAGGATGAAATTGGACTGGGATAAGGTAGTATACAACAACATGAAGAGAAAATTTCGGTATATAGGTATCCGAGCGTTAAGAAATGGGAATTTAAGGAGAAATTTTACGTTTAGGCTTTCATGAACGAAAATACCTAAACACACGCTTGGTCAATTAAATATATTTTATGTATTTAATACCATTGTGTTACAAGCTAAACATAGAATATAGTCAACAACTAACGAAAGGTTATATTGGTCGAGAGCGTTTAAGCGTAAACATAAGCATTACTGAGTTTAGCGATGCCGGTTTAAATCTGGCGAGTATTGATCTCCCCAAGCTGATTAAAATATGTTTGATTGTACACCTAGAACAATACTTCTCTCCGTATGTCAATAATCACGAGGTATGGATTAATAGAGAAAAAAACTAATGAAAGAACTTTGTGGCCGGAGCAATTGGACGGACGGTTACTTCCAAGTAAGGACTAACTTCTTCCTCTAGGTTATATTATGGCTGCTACCTTGAATATATACCCATGCACCGCATGGTAAGGTGTATACAATGCACCTTGCATTCGTAAGATGATTATTATTTCAATATCAAAACGTTATTTTTAGACGCATGCAAACAAAAATTTTCCATCTTGAATTGGGTAATAGCTGGAGATTCTGTTTCCAGTGTTCAAGAAGAATCCTAGACTGTTCGCCTATCACCTCAGTAACTTCACTAGTTCACGTTCATGTAAATTCCATTCGAAAAAGTATTTCGTTAATATCTAAACATGATTAAACCAATTTACTATATCTAATAGTCTGAGAGTGTCTGATGTACTGATTGTAAGTCCCATTGTGTATAGGACTTCACATGATGCTGTCAGATTATCAAAGGCATCTTTTTGCCCCGCCGTAGAGAACTACCGCCGCTCCATTGAAGACGGACTATGCAAACGCAGTAGAGTTGAATGAGACTGATTGGCTGCTACCAAAGCCACCGCTTCCTTTGTCGGCAGCGACACCGGAGGTTGATCCCATTAGGTGAAGACTGGTAGCTGGGGGACAAAGGTTTTGGCGGAGTCATTCCAGTCATCTCCAGGCTCATCACTCCGCTCCTGTCATCACGACTGCTCCCTCACGCCGCCGAGGTTGTCTCCGACGTAATCCCGATGGTCCGGATTTGCAGGAAATCACTTTCCAACCTGCTGTACTTGGAGCCACCATAAATATCAACGCTAAGCATCCATAATGGGGAATAATTTTGGCGAGCCTGTAATCGCTTTTTGATTTAGGTGCTTGCTATTCGCAAAGATATTCAGTTCAAGGTTAAGTATATCTGAGGAAATCGGACGTTGTGTTGAAGGTTTTTCTTTGTTTCTTTTTTTGTAAATGAACCCACCTTGAGTTGGAACTGTTTGATCGAGAAAGTAAGAACATCACAACCCAATTATAATTTCGTGTTTACAAGTGTTTTCTGTTAATATATCAATAGAACAAGCCCCCTCTCGCTCCCTTGCATAATGTATCATTCTCTTTTTTCAAACCAATATAAATATAAAAATTTAAATAACTATACAACATTAAACATTTGCTGACAGGGATACTCAGAAGGTGAATACCTGGCATATCTTACATGGCGCAACTTGCGTAATTAAGAGTTTTGAAGGGACCACAATTTGAGAGGGTTTTGAATTTTTAATGCGGTTACTTCTTTTGCGGTTTCAATTTTGGGAAAATTTCGAATCAGGGTACAAAAGAAAAAGATGTAACAGATCACGACAACTGAAATTGTACATAGACTACAATTTTCACGATAAGTCATCAACCTTAGGGGGAGAGGAGGGAGATAGGTATACCTGTTCACCAATAAGAGTCCCAATAGAATAATGATATTTATTAATTTATTTCCAAAATTTTTTTAATTCTTTTTTTTCCAATTATTGTTATCCAAAATCCTGTGTAAAATCCTCGATGCTCCATACTTGTTTTCAAATAAAATCATCCATCACGACTTTAATATTCCATATGTTTCCTAATCGACCCAAAGCAGATACCCTTCATAATGAACTTCAGAACCATCCTAATCTTTTATATTCCTCTTCGATTTCAGATAACGCTCCAAGTCCTCTGTAAAGCATATGGCTTTCGTGATCTCCTAATGTAGATGCTTTATTAGAGGACTACCAGTAGGTAGATCTTCTACGAGTCTTTTCATGTCATTTTATTTCTCTTTACCACATCTGCTGGATGCATATTTATTTTTATACAGTTGTAAATTTCACGAATAAAAAAAAAAAATTGTTTTAATAATTGATTACTTGTTACTTACTTGATCAATCAATCGTTAAATAATGTTAGAGTGTATTAACTAATACAAAACTACCATAGATTAGAATATGATCTAATTACCTCCATGTTTATTATATTATTGATTTGGCATCCATGAAATCGGTTGAATTGTGCTTTTGTTTCGTTTATGTTAGTTCAATGCATCCTGACGAAATCATGATTCGGTCACTCAATTTTAGGATTATTTATCTTCTTCATTCAATCCAATGACTTAAATACATATCCAAAAAAAAAAAGTTTTTTTTTATATCTCTACACATTCTGTATTACGTACGTCCATTAATTTTTGTTATACTTCTTTAGTACCTTTCAATCGAAAGTTCGACTTTCTTTATTTTCAAATATACCTAATTTCTTTTTTGATCCCAAGAACACAGAGGATATTTTCGACCAATTCTTGGTGACTCGCATCTTATAAACGACGTGATCTTTCCCGCGGATCGAGTTGGAGGATGCTAAGGAGGCAGGGAGCCGAAGAACATCAATCTGCTGGTGAAGAGAGGGTGACTGTGCAGAAAGGTCTACTCCTCCCCAGGCCCGCATCTAGCTAATTACAGCCCTCCGCTCATGCCTCTTCCGTCCTATCTCAGCCGAAGGATCGCTGTTCGCGGCAATCTACACGCGATGTTGTGTTCCAACTTCGATGACGGGACTGGAATTGATAGCGACAAAGCGGTGGATGCAGCAGAATATTATTTGTCTTTAGCAAATTTATAGTAGTCAAGGAATGTTTTGACAGAATATGAAACATCGAGGGAAAATCTACACTATATAGTACACGGTAGAATGGATCCTTAGTTGCTCTCAGGAGTGATAAATGTTAATAAATGAAGTACGAAATGAAATGGAATCTTATGGTTAATTGACAAATTCCTATTTAAAAAATTGAAGTATTAGAGTTGTAAAAATGAATAGATCCTCTACAAGTCTTTTCATGTAATTTTAGGCCGTAGGACGGCCTCTAAACGTTTTTGTGCTATATTTATTAATCTAGTGGTAGAATTAATTAATATTTAATTATTTTAATGACGAAAGTTTGTAAATTAATAGAATTAAGTTGAATTGGATAATTAATAGTTGACCTTTGCATTATAAAGGAAGAAGATGGTCCGGAGTGGCGGTCATAAATACGCTAAATAGTGGCAACACTATTTTATTAAAAGCCAACGTTTCGAACCGACTTTGCAGGTCTTCTTCAGGGCTAGAACGGACAAGATACAAAAAGATGGAGAATCGTAAAAATTACATAATATTTAGACGAAAAATGATAAACAATGTGAAAATTACAGTATCTAAAATTTGAAGATATGGATGGATACATAGATATAGTATTTTTTCCCTTGTATCCATCCATATCTTCTAATTTTAGATAATGTAATTTTCTAGGTTTTCTCCATTACCCAAACAAGTCAGCAAACTCCCCAATACCTGCCCTTATCCTGGTTTTCCAGTTCTATGTGAAACTCCTAGCTGAACACACCTATAAGTCTCTAATTTTATTTACTTTTTTATTTAATTTTTTTTCTTTTCTTTCCCCACATTCCTTTATGTCTATTATTTCATATTATGTTCTTTTTCCTTTTCTTTCAATCTCTTCTGTAGATCTGTAGAAGTATATTCACATTTGCATATATTATATATTACACTACAACCATTGTTACCATCTATTTACTTCAGTTTAGGATCATGTTACTTAATTTACTCTGTTTATATTTTAATGTACTTACTGTTTATAATTTTAATAAGCTTATTCACACTGTTTATAATTTAGTTTTTTTCTAAATACTATGTAACTTACACAATTCTCTATATTTTTTGTATCTTCTAGCCCTGAAGAAGACCTGCAAAGTCGGGTCGAAACGTTGGCTTTTAATAAAATATTTCTGTCAATATTTAGCCTATTCATTATTCTAGTGGTAGAATAAATTAATATTTAATTATTTGGAAATAATAGAATTAAATTTATTAAATTTAATCTATGCATGTGGGTATGTGTATTTAGTGATAAATAAAAATAGCAATGGTAAAATATAAAGAATTATTGCGGCCACTAATGATAAAAAGATTCACCAACTATGATATCAACCATTTCAACTAAAATAAAAAAAAAAAAATGCTAAACTTATTACCGAAATAAAATCAGTCCGAATATAACAAAGACTATTGATTTTAATCAGTGTTGTGTTTAGGACCTACCAGTTATAATTATAAAAATAAGTGAAAGCTCCCCAAAAACCCCAGTATTCTTTACGTTACGCAGGTATCGTATACTCAACGCCATAAAAAAAAAAAAAAAAACGACCTTACCATGGATGGACAAAAGGTTGTTTGCTGGAATCACATCGTTGGTTTGCTCACTCCTTCCAAGACGTAATGATACTCTTTTCCAGCCGACCGGAGCTGGAGGACCAATGGTCAGCGATCATCAATCTTGATCCTTGGCCGAATGATTGTCAGCGGTTTATTGATTGTCAGTACTGTCTGCGCGTCAGTCCGGTACACCGCTGCCCACCCTCATCTTACCATTTTGTGTTCTATCACCATCTAGACATAATTCGATGGCAAGCATATTGAAAGCATGTCAACAGAATAATAATAAATAAGAATTTAATTAAGGATTAATCTAATCGCGGTTTTGGTAATACCTAAAATATGATCTATGTTATAATTATAATTTAATTTAAATGATTAAATAACGTAGCAGTTTAATTTATACGACTTCTTAGTTTTATTTTTTCTTTGATGTAATATTTCTCCGACGTGTGTAAATTTAATAAGTTTTAGCTGTTTGAATAAAATTCGTAATCGTCTTTATTGTTGCGTTAACTGAATGCATTAAATCCTATAAACAAAAAGTTTATTACAGTCATATTATTTACATTAAATAAATTAACTGAACATTTAATTTTATTTAAATATTAACCTTATTATATTTGAATTAAACTTAAATAACATTATCTCAAAGGAAAATAGATTATTACATTGTCAGAACCATTTAAAAAGGACTATTAAGTGACTAAACTATACTAAGTTTTGTTTTTCAAAAAAATCTTGGAATATTTGCCATTTTTCTTTCATCACTCTTCAGCCATACTACAGATATCCCACAGAAAATAATTTATGTTGTGTAAAAAAAGTATGAGATTTGATATCTTGTCGCCTTTCTTTACAGCGAAATTGACTACAATAAATTATTGCAAAGCTTTTATTTATCCTCCCCGCCTCCTAAATTGGGGTGTATTATAACAAACATAAATATATAATTACACTTTCAAAATTAAGTTTTTCAAATATTTATCAAATAAAGTGATAATGAGGCAGTGTTTTTCATCTTGATCTCTACATTTATTTAACCTTATGCGAATACATCCTTATTTTATTAAATGACAAAGAAAATGTTTTTAATCCTAATACAATTTTATTTTATTTTTTTATAAACGTTAATTTATAATAATGAACTATTACCTCAAAATGGTGTAGACTTGTATTTAGTAATGAAAGCTGCATTTGGATGCAATATTAAAACATTCGAAAATTTAAATAAGAAAACCCTTCTTGCATAACGTAGAGTAACGTTTTTAATAAGCCACATTTAAAAATGATGTTTTATTTCAGAAATAAAATATGGATTTTCGGCAAATGAAAATAATGTTACCACAAGTCGTAGATGACTCCGATACCAATTTGAAGAATCCCTCTTCTCCCCCTCTCCACCCTTCCCCTCCCATTGTCTCACGGTTGTTGATATTCTGAGACGATACTCTGTAGTCTTTTTGCTCGTCGGCCTCCCGGACGTGCGGTTTATGACCGGAATATAAGAAGTTGCAAGGGCCAGGATATTGATGTCCTGATCCTGGGAATATCGCCACTCATGCCCGCCCTCATCATCCTTTTTCTTGCCGATATCAGCCGGCCCTTGAGTCCACCCTCTGTACACAGGATACTTAGGAGCAGGACCCTTTGCCAGGAACCTTGGCAGAAAAACGATATGTCCCCGGTTTCCTACCGGCTTCTTATGGGAAAACTAAGTTATGGATACAAGCAGTATGACTAAAGTTTCCAGGACTCAATGGAGTCAAAGTCATTGAATATTTAAGTTAAGAACCGAAAAAAGTATCAAATACAAATTTAAAAAGTTCTATAGTTCAAACTAATGCAGTCCTCTTCCAAAATGTTCCAAATTAAAAATAAAACAGAAACCAAATATCTACATTTACCTACTGAAGACCATTTACATCAACGCTTCACAAATTTAAGGTTCTTCCAAAAAGAAACTCATATGTTATGAATTCCATGGTACATCACAAACATTACTTGGCATAATGACCATAAAATGCCAACAGTTAACGACTACGTAAAGAGGCATTACAAATGATTTCCTGATAACTAACACGGACATATTAATACACTCCTAAAAGATGTGGTCTCAATTAACAAGCCACAAACATCCGCAGTAGACTCAAAAAAAGCTGTATTTAAATTTTACCTCTTCGCCCTTTCCTTTCTCGCATTTTCGGTTATACAGGTTTATCCTGACCAGAGGAGAGGACGGAGTATGAATACCAGAGTTAAGTTCAGTTCCTCTGAAACCAGAATATGAACTCTTAATCTAGTTGCTGGAGACAACGCATGTTTTACACCTTCAGCTATATAAACTAAACTGAAGATATAAAGGTATGCCGCTGGGCACTCCTATTAATGACAAACTATTCTACGTCTCGAAAAAAACTCACTGGTATTATGTATTCCTGAAGTCTGATGAATAGACTAATAACATATTATTAGTGCGGATTCAGAATCTTTCTGGGTATGTAAGACACGCTCTGCATATATTCGTATGTTCTGTGGTTATTACTAGCATAAAACGATCTAAGTATAAATAAGAATTTTTTTCTACTTGTTTCAGATAGAATTATTTGTGGAAATGAAGATATTAAAACAAAAAGTCAAATTTAATTAAATTAATGTGGTAAAAATTTATTTTATTTATTAAAATCGGAATTAAATGTAACATTTAAAGGCATAAAAAATTCACCTACATTAGTTAATATATATATTTCTTCAATCATATTTATATCTTTTTAAATATATTGAATACATTAAAATATTTTAAGAAATGCTTTGGATTTATCCACATCTCATTAATAAATACGACAGCACAATAGAATGCAAGTGAATACAGACATAACGTTTTTGTTGGATGATTTTTTTTCACCCAAGAAAATCTAGGCTTATCTTTTTCTTAATAATAAAAAATAATTCGTATTTAAAAGTTTTAAACGGCCCTAAAATGGAATCTAACTTACTTCTTCATAAAAAAAAATGATATATTTGGCCTACTTTACTGGAAGCGCGTTTTTGTTTATCTAATTTATGATATCTAATCGATTGATATCTGCTATCCTAACATTGTGGGCAAAGCAAAAGCAAAGATAAATGATATAGATTTTGTTTGACATTATGTAAACTATTTTTTTTTCTTTTCTTTTTTGGCTTCTACGACTCGTTGGAACGAACGCCGAGATATGTGTCCAATATTTTTCAATTTCGTTTAACCGAGAAAAGAAATTTGCTGAAATCGGTAAAATAAGTAAAAAATTAGGTTATATTGGAAAAAATTAAAACATATAGCTCTATGTTTCTAATGTGCAGGCAAAACGAACAACACTGCATGCCATTGCACACTCCTTGCAAGGTTTTTTTTCTATGTATTTTTTGGACCGTTGATGAGGAATGTATTGTATTAATTCTGGATATGAGGCAGTCTAGGGCTTCAATGTAAGTCCTTTGCCAAATCAAAAAAAAAAGTATACACATATAGGAATACACCTATATGTGGTTTGTGTTGTTTTCTGTCCGGATGATGTGTGCATTACTGAAACGTTTATGTATTAATTTGTTTTGCCAGCATTTAAGAGACTCTAGAGTTATTTATTGAACTTTTTCAACTATAACATGATATTTATTTTTCCAATGATATTCGTTTAGTCTCTGGTGATAGGTACTGAAGACTTATATTTAAGTCATGTCAGCTATGGTTTCTTAATCGAAAATGAAACTCTGTATCAAATGTATTTTTATGAAATTATAATAACAAGAGTTACCTAATGTTCTTAGAAAAAAAAATAGACGAACAAAAAAATACTGGTAGCCCAAGGGAAAGAACAGAATGATATGTAGGAATAAAGAACCCAATTTTTCCAACTGTCAGACTTTTTTTCCTCGGCCTTTATTGCTCTTATCCTTTTATTGGAAGGATACAAAAAAGAAAGGTCCTGGGGAGATTAGGACCGAACAGAAGCTCCAAGGACTGCAGCGGATAATAGGTCTATTAAAATAATTATAGTTAATGACAGTAATTAATTACAATTAGATTCTCGTTACCGAATGGCCGCTCCGTGCTTTGATATCTTCTTATTTATCTATAAGGTCCTGTTTTTACCACTACGGTTTGATTACCTGCAACAGAGTAAAAGGGAACAATGTTGAAATAAATAAATGTATAAACATTAAGTATTAAGTCGTAGTTTTAACACAAGACATGATAATAACCTATTAAGGTTTCTGTAAATATGATTTCTCGATTTTGTATAAATATATTTATATTAAAATCCCAAAATTATTTATCAGTCATTTTCTAATAAATCATTCGTGAGTCATAAAATATAGTATAAAATGGAGTATAAATTGTATATTATTATTTCTTTTCAAGAAATTACACGCCTGTATTAAATTTATAATGCTATTTTGAATATGTGGGTCCGAATGCTCCAACAGTTACTAGACAAACGCTCTAAACTTTTAATTAATTACAAAAGACTTATCTACATAACTATAATAAGACCTATATGGACATACGGAGTTGAGCTTTGGGGCTCCACCAAACCATCGAATTCCTATCGTATCCAAACCTTACAATCCAAAATTCTCCGTAAAATCCTTAATGCTCCATACTTTGTCACAAATAAAACCATTCATAAAGAACTTAATGTGCCATATGTCGTTGATCTAGCCCGAGCCGAATTTCTATCCTTTCATGATTAACTCCAGTCCCATCCAAATCCCCTTGTTTACACCATTGCTTCTTCCTCGATTCCTGATAATCCTCCTAGGCGTCTGAAAAGGAGATAGCCTCGTGATCTTTTTACCTATAATTATATAGGTAGTGCTAACTCTTGCTAGTATCTCTTCAACCCCGTTCATGTCAATATTTATAATTTGAGCATATTTACTAGTTGCATTTGTATACAGCTGTAAATTTCATTAAATAAACAAAAAAAAAAAAAAAGAATATGTGGGTATAGACTCTCTTCAGTTTTTCCTCCAGTTCTATTATTTAAAATATGCTAAGATTTAATAAAATAAAATTAATTTACGAGATTTTACCATCTTAAACTGTTTAAAAACTAAATTGTACATCGTCTCTTCCGCTTCTATTACTCATCTTAAACACGATACCATTTCCTACTCCCAAGAGAAAATAAGTAGGTTGCCCTTTCTGCCTCCGTTGTTCTTATGAAATATAACCGTCGGTTCCTGGCCGTTCATCAGGAATAAACAGTTAGAGAAAGTTTTTAATCCGGCGCAACTCTCATAAAGCACGAGTAAGCTCATAAGAAATGAGAGAGAGAGAGAAAAAAAAATACTCCCCGTTCCGCCATTAATAAGGAGGGTTAGGGAATTAGAGGAAATAGTAAACAGAGATAGCAGAGCCCTCTGTTTTTTGGGACTTGGAAAATATGAAGGAGGCGATAAGGGAGGCTGGCGGGGGGCCAATGGCGTTCCACCTGGACACAGGCCAATCTACCGCCGCGCTAGGCAAGATCTCTACTTTACCATCTACTTTTTATACCATCCTTGTGTATATTTCTTTCTGCATCCTACAGTCCATTGGATCGAGGGAATGAATTAAGAAAACTATAACGAACAAGCGAAGAATTCGTTAAGTGATCCTTATAATGAGAAATGATTCGATATGAAATACAAGCCAAAGGTACCTCAAGATCTGATAAGTTCCTTATGTGGAAGTATGAATACAGTTGGAATTCATCCAGAGCGAATAATAATAATAATATGCTTTCAGGGTGTCTTTCTTCACTGGAATTCCGGAACAATTCCTGTTTTTTACCCATGTATATATCTAGCATTTTCCCTTGCATTATCAGCATGGCCAAAGATCAAGAAGAGACTCAATCAGAATTGGTCTTGGTCCTGCGGCAACACATCTACTCTTGATCTTAGTTTGGTATTGCTCACTTCAATACCTATTGAAGTCTTGGTCTTGCAGTAAGAGTCCTGCACATCATGCTATTATCTATAAGATTATTTATATTTATTAAACAATTTAGATCTTAGAACAACGCAACTGAGTTGAGAAATTTTGAACTTTATTGACATAGACAATGTCAAGTCCAAAACAAATCAACAAAAATGATCCTGTTAACTGTTTTGTATCCACAAATAAGCGTTTTATTATTAGCTCAGATCCAGCCATATTTTATGTTTTTATTGTTTAGAGAGTTTAGCTACACGATTCAACAATAAAAAAAAATCTGTTTAGATTTAAGATTAAGATTTTAAATCACCATACTATGGCACTAAATATAATAATAAATACAATACCTTTTGGTGTTGTAATGACCAAATTTATCGTTACATGGAAAGAATTATGGTTTTAATGCCGAAACTAGGGAATTCTGTTAATATTAATACATGGACCAAATGTTCAGTAGCTCTCAGTTTGACTTACCTGCAAGACGCAGGAGTATCGCAGGCCAGTCTTGATCTTACTACCATTAGGCGCCCTAGGTTTTGCGAAATTGCGGGAGCAAGACCATGACCGTTGTTGGCCAACACTAGAGTCTATTGTTCCTAATCAACGAAATTTCTCAGTTTATTTCTCAGATTTTCTCGTACATTCATAAAAAATTTACCGTTTTCTTTTTTCGTACGACAGAAATTCACTAATAATTCCGGTTTCAGAGTAATTCTCATACGATGGACATCCATTCTTTATATTTCCAATTAATTTATTTTATGTATATTTTCCGAGCAGATTTGTGTTCAAAGATTTTTTACTGGTATCAGTTTACTTTTTTATCATCATAGTGTGTAAGGCAGTTAGAATAATGTAATGGGCTGAGAGATCGAAACATCGACGATGGGGTATAAAATATACACACTTTATTAAAAAATAGAAGTGGTTACTTAATTAAAACATCATACATTTACTGATAACTCGTCCTCATTAAATAATAAATTTAATGGGGCTACTTAAATTTCATTCTATATATATGTTCAGTATACATTTACATCCAATATATTTTTTTATTCTCTAGTGTTGTCTTAACCATCACTTCAGTATAAGACCTAGAACTAAATTTGGCCTACCGTTGTAAATGTCAAGTACCGAGGATTAGATCAGATAGGCACGGAACGGACTTAATCCGTAACTAATAATATTATTTATTTAAATTTTATTTAAATCATTGAGTTTGTTAACTGTGTCAATTTGTGAATCATGTATCGTATTGCCAATTCTCTCAAGTCAAAGGAGAAATCCCTATATTGCCAGGCAATCTATCTCTAATAGCTTAGAAATGGTTATCTATAAGGCACCGACCGGAGACAATAAGACCTATTTATTATCAAGACTTAGGGAACAATAACAGATTTCAGCAAAAGGTGTCATTCTCACAGACCTCATCTCAATACTAAAGGATAAGAATATCAAATGGTATCAACTTCCCTGTGGGGTACCCCAAGGAGCTGTTTTATCTCCCGTTCTTTTCCTATTATATACTGCGCAAATATTGGGAATTAAACGCCAAAATGCTTCTGTGACAGCATTTGCTGATGACAGCTGTCTGAAGTAGCAGTATGAATTCCAAAAAAGCTGTGCAGCAGGTGGAGACAGCTTTTGAAAAAAATGCAGAACAGCTAAAAATCCTAAACATAGATGCTAATCCTGAAGAGACTAAAGGAATCATATTTTCATATCAAAAAAGAAAAATGAAAATGGCAAATGAATTCAAAATTAACAACAATAGTATTAAATTTCCGACTTACTTAACATATCTCGTTATTCATTTCGACAGACATTTAAAATTTACTAGACATTTTGACAAAAAAATTAAAAAAGTAAGATCTAAGACGTACAGACTCCAAAATTTAATTAGGACAACAAACCTATCTTTACGCCTAAAGATCCTTATCTATACAAGTATAAGACGGTCGGCTCTGTTGTACGGTGTACCTTTGTTTGATTATCACAGCAAAACAACTGGGAAAAGATTACAATATTTCCAAAATGGAATAATTCGAAAAATAGTAAGAGGAACCAGGATGCAGAGAATGAAGACATTGGATATACAAGCAGTACTAAATTTACCAACAGTAAAAGAATTTATCTCAAAACTTGGAGATATGGAAAAAAGAAAATACTCAGAAATGACAAAAATCAAAATACACCTTATAATGCTTTTTAGCAGTAAAATTACTATTATGAAGACAATGAAAATCAAAGGATTCAAGACAAAAATGAATAAACAAGGTGCTATGAAAAAAATAATTTCCTATAACTCCAGGCTTTCTTGACCTCACAGAATTCCTTCACCCCCTAGTATTCAAGTATATATAACCCTAATGGTTCTCTGGATTAATCACTCTTGCAGTTACATTCTTGAAGTCATACACTTGCCATCATGCCAGGAGAACTAGATCCATGATCTTATTGTCATGCTCTTGTAGGAGACCTGGAGTGAACTCTTGAAATCAACCAACATATTTATAGTATTACTCTCTATATCAAGATGCCGTTTGTAAAAGACATTATGAATAAAAGTGTTACTTTTAACGTCCTCACTGCCTCCGATATGTTAACTGGATGAATAACTTACGTATTTCTTATATTTTTTAATATATTATACAATGAATTTTGATCAGACACTCGTGTGTTAGCAAACGCGAGATAAAAAAATTATTATATCCGCTTAAAAGGGGAACAATAAAAAAAAACTATTAATTTGATTGGTTCCAGAACGATGTCCACGCCCCCCAGCTGGCTACCACCCGTGAGAAATAGAAGGGAGTATGGGTAAAAAAAAAAATAAGAAAATGAATGAAAAAAAAGTAATAATGCCTACCTGTAATCGGTAGGTGGGGCCAAAGGTGATTGGTGGAGCCAGCGACCAATCCGTCGGCCCCGCCGAGATAAAGGAAAACGAGAAGTTGCCGTGTTCGTTGCCATTAGTTCTCCTTTCGTCCGCTAAAGACAGCCATCGATTGTCTCTCTCTCTCTCACTCTCCATCTGATATAAACCACAATCTACAATATATATCGCTTTAAATAATTCTGTCTCGTACCGGAACAGTTCTCAGATTCCCTTTTGAATTTGGGAACGCGGTGACAAATATAATTGGTCACGCTAATGGCGAATCATAAATGTTCCGCAGTGGCTAAGATCAGTATCGTTTATTTCGATATCTATTTGTATTATTTCTGCCATTGTTGAGAAATTTCAAATCATATCTACAACGTTGCTTACATAACCGAAACTCAAACCACACAAAGACCATATATATATATCGCTTACATACATCCATCACATACATACATACACATACATCACATGCTTTAGTCGCGGAATCGATTCAAACCTGCGACCCATTTCAATAACGGAATATATTGAGGGTCGATGCACCGAGGACCAAAATAATCTTTCAGTAATAAAATTACCGATGTTTATGGATAATTAGAAGGATTTTATCTTTAGTAACCTATTTATTGCAACGAATTGAATAGATAAAGTAAATTCGCTTAGTAAATATATTTATTTTAACAATAACAACATGGTTGGTTAACAAATTAGTAACTAAACTCATAGGAATTTGGTTATTTGGCCTAACAAAGCAATCGTTCTCGCCATATTTCCCGACGATCCGATATCCCTTTGTCTGTATCGCTGCTGATGATTGTGCCCTATGTTGCTGTTAATGCAATATATATCGCCATATCGCCGGCAACAGGAATATCGTGTCGCCGAGACATATCGTACTGTGTGTGCAGAGGCCCTACTTTTTATGTATATACTTAGTTTTTTATATATTACATGGTAATATGTTACCATTGACGCAGTTGCTAATAAGGAACTGAGGTAGTACTGCTGGTAGAAACTCTTTTAAGTGGTCACAAATCAGGCCTTCATTGGCTTATAAACATTGAAAGAAAATTTTTCTCGAAAGACAATAATTACAAAGAACACATATTTAATGGAATCCAACATTTGCTAACAAACTGTTCATGGAACACAGCAAAGTTTATAGAAATTTAATGAAAAGGCAAACAACGATGCTGCCATCTATTGGCAGGCAAGGGAAGCAGAGATAGAGTCTAGACATGCAGGGTTCCTGCAGAATTCATGTCAATTTAAGACATGGGATATAGCAAGCCAGCAGGTAAATTAACATCTGCACCTTTTTAAGAAGAAAAATGGAGTAGCAGCTCTAGAGGCCCAGAAAGGGGCCTGATGTCCAGGATGAGAGAACATTTTGAATGGAGAAAAGAAGCAAGTACCTAGCAGTAAGTTTTAGCCAAAAACCACCTTCTTCAATATAGAAATCATTTTTTTTTTACATTTTAACACAAATTTTATTAGCTCCAGTCTCAATAATCAACCATTATAATAGAAATCAAAATATAGCAATCATATTTTAGTTATATCATGTAATTATACTGTCCATAGCATTTGAATAAGAATCAGTTTCCTATAAAAGAATTATTATATCAATATCCCTGAGAGTCATGGAAGTGATTGGCTTAATAAATAAAACACAAATCAAAAATCTTTATCCAATCTAGCGTTTGTAATAATATAAAGAAATCATAGGTGAAATGAATAAATTCAAGCTATAGCTTCATACATTTGTTTACTGATTAACATCATAAGTTGTAAACTTATAAAAAAATGACAACTGCTTTAGACCTTAGGAAGACGAGACTTTATGTGTTGTCCATATTAATCTTGAAAATTATAAAAATTAGAACATTCTTCTCTGATTTTTAACGTATTTATTTAAGGCCATTTTTTTAATAGGTGTACAAATTGAAGTATTAATGAACTTGAAATCCTGCGATTTCAAGGATTTCAATTATGAAAACAAAAAAAAAATAATAGAACAACGAAGCTTTAATTGTTTTTAATATTTCAGATTAACGTCGAAAACAATAGAAGTTCGCCTTCCTAAGGTCCATAATTGTTAATTTCTGATAAGTTAAAAACTTATGATGCAAATAAAAAAATATATTTACCATTTACCGTATTTGGTTTCTGCGTCATACGAAAGTCGGTAAACGCAGTATAGATGTGTGAGAAGAAAAGTATATCTTGAATCTGGAATGGAATTATTTGAGAGTGTAAAAAAAAAAAAACTCAAACTGAAAATAGCTTTTACAATTTATTATTTATTTGATTGTATGCCTCTACTCGCTAGGGTCATTGGCAATCATCAATTCACTCACACTTTTCGTATGTTTAAGAAGTCCGGTTTGTTGCTCGGTCAAGTAATTATATGCCGTCACAATTATATGATGTACAATTCCTAACTATAATGATTTGGAGCAAGTATCGTTTTGTAAGCTTAGAGATACATAGAATGAGGTCTTTATGAATAATTTTATTTGTGACATAATAAGGAGCATTAAGGATTTTACGGAGGATTTTGGATTGTAAGGATTAGATATGGGAACAATTAGATGGTTTTGTGGAGCCCCAAAGCTCTATTCCGTGTGTCCAAATGGGCCTAATGATGGAAGTGTACATGAGTTTTTTTGTATAATATTGGAAGTTTAGAGCGATTGACAAATAAGTGATGCAGTAGTCGGAATCTGTTAGCAGTTTCTTGTATTTTTAACCTAGTATGAGGATAACAAGTAAGAGGTTTGTCATTAAGGAGTCCTAGGTAACGGATCTGTTCGATAGTCCTTTGAGAACTTTAATTTGATAAAACTTCAGTTTTTTTATACATACTATTACATTATTGAATACATAAATACTGCGCCAAAGTTTGAAAATAGATACTCGGATAAATATTTACAGGTATGATACAAAATATAAATAGAGGGGGAAGTTAGGTCATAATAATGGTGTGTTGTGTTAGCTGATTTGTATCGCAGTTGACAGGAAACAAGGGGCATGGTCTCATGTGTCAACCACTGATTTTTATCTCTGTCCTCTTTCCACACAAGAGCCAACAGAATGTATCCCTGAGCTTACAAAACGATACTTGCTCAAAGTCATTACAGTTAGGAATTGTACATTATATAATCATAACAGCTTTTTTCAGACTTTTTTTTTTAAATATATACTCTCAGATAATTCCATATCAAATTCAAGATATACTTTGTTTTTCTCACATATCTATACTGTATTTACCGACTTCCATATAACTCAGAAACCAAATATGACGGTATATTACTAATTAGTTGAGGAATATCTTATAGTAATGTTTACCGCAATGGCGGCCTTAGGGTAAAGCAACCGCTAAAGAAAAAGAAATAAACTGATTTTTATTAGTCGAGAGATGATGTCATTTTTCGGGGGCGCCAAATGTATAAGACCGGCACTTGTTTATGAAATTTATATTGCTTACATTCATTAGTGGGATAACTTGGTTATGAAATATGTCAAACTATGACTTGTTTTGAAGGGGATATGAGGAGGATTGTTGAATAGATATAGCTAAGTTATTTTAGAAAGAGGTAGCACTTATGACAAATAATTTTCTAATGGAACAGGTTTTATAACAGAGAATATATAAATTATTAGTTTGATTCTTGTGTTAAATGAGTGAATAGTGGAAAGTATAATGAGGAGTTCTAGGTTGTAACAGGGTTTTTCGGTTTGTAGGATTTGATGGATTTGATGGATAAACACGTCTAGAAGGTAAAAAAGCAGGATGATTCCCCTTCAAGTCAGTACTAACAGAAAAACTGGAAGATGAATCTTAGGAATAAAATGGAGATAGTGTTCTCCTTGTATTATTTATGCTATTTATTTTAATATTTAACCACTAAAGATATTTAACAGTTGCATATAGAATTGTGTCATTAATAAATAATATGCCAGGCGTTTCAGCTCCTGGTTATAATGCATTCTTCTCGAAGTCATTAACCTAGGAAAGGTGTAGGCTGGTTAAAGACACATAAATCATTCCTTTAATAATTAATTCATCATACGACATTGTGTGGTCGTTAAACGAGACAACATTAGTCGATTGACCCGTCACATCCCCGCACCCGCCCGATCGGCGAGCAGTCCATGACACCGCCTGGTTGAACATCAACCGCTGCGGCATCAATAACCCAGCGGTCGCCGGGAAGAGGCGACAAATTGTCCCGTAGGCGGTCTCACAGATGGCCGCGGATAAAAAAAAACTCAATGGAGAAAGGTAAAAAATGGCCGTTAGGTCGGCCATGCTAGATAATAGAGCCTAGGGCCTGTAATTATATTAATAGGTGTGGGCGGTACCTGCCTTCTCCCACCAAGACCGCCTCGTCGGTCGCGCTCTTGGATATCCGGGATGTTGGGTCTTGGGGGGATATCCTCGGGTCGGTTCGGTAGATGCGCCGTCAACTTCAAGCTGAAACTGCAAGAATCGTTTCATCTCTTTTCACCGAACATTATACAATGTTTAAAAAAAAAAAAAAAAAAAAAAATTAGATCTAAATTAGTATTGTCCGAATGCAAGCGCACTCAACGTTCGTCTTGGTCTTGTGGAAGAGCCTTGCAGTTACCTATTAGGATATTGCTATTTATTAAATATGTTACTCCAGATTAGAAAAACGCAGAATACAGAATAGGTACATATTCTGGGGCGATGTCCCCTTAGAATAACTAATAATGAACAGTTACAGAAGAAAAATTACACATCTGGCCAAAAATTAACTTAATAAAGATTCAAACAATATATACAACAACTTAAATAATAGTATATAAATTACTAAAAAATAAAATAAAATCTTCTCAACTATACTTATAATTTTACTAGAAAAAAATAACAAAAAGAAAAAGGAAAAAAAGAATTATGTGTATAAAAAGAAAAGGCAAAACCTCCAGAAAAGAAAAAATATCAAGTACTTAAATAAAAAAATTGATTTATGTTAAAACCCAAACAACTAAAGCATACAAAATATATACACATATTAAAAAAATATTAATGACAGAAGATCAGCAACGGGATCACAATATTGCATTATCTCAGCATAAGAGGTATAAAATAAGAATAGATAGATAAATACAATCAAGAAGGGGTATTGAATTAATTTTGTGAGAAAAGAATTGCAACCAGAATGAAAAAAAAAAAACTGATTTAAAGAAAATAAATTATTTATATATGTCATACAATACACAATGGCATTGCAAACTATAAAAAAACACGGAGATTAAGATAGGAAAAGATACATATGCATACAAATTGAAGAATGTAAGAAATGAAATACGTCTAAAATATAGACAATCTTGTAGATGGAAAAAAGAAAAATGGATAAAAACAACAAACAATCTCTTACTTTTAATGCATGACGTCACAGTGCTATGCCAAAAGTGATACTGAATCTTTCCAATTTACAAATAATAAACAGAAAATAAAATAAAATAGTGGTGTATAAAAAAAAATAAAAATGCAACATTTAGATTTTTTATTGACATAAACCTAATAAAGTTCAACCAAATTAATAAAATTAACTTGACAATACATTAAAGTCTTTGTCAAAAAAAAAAATAGTGATAAATCCTCTCTTCCATTTTCCTACATTGGAAAGGAATAGTTGTAGTGTAAAAAAAATCTATTACAATGTCACCAATTATTAAAATAAAAATCTGGTTGGCAGACAGATACAGATTTTCCTATGATTTTTGTACCAATGTTAAACAATTTTAAGTCTGTTCATTAGAGTGCTACCATTGGGTAGTTACTGTTATATACTTACTTAGTATTAGCATGTCATTATATCAATTTACTAGATGTACTTATTTAATACAGTTGTAAATAATATTAAGAAAAAAAAAAGTCTGTTCATTAAAAATTACACAGTTGAATTAGACTGATTTTTCTCATAATCATTAGAGTACGATTTCTTTGATGAAATTAAACTAAATCATTAAATTAAATCAATGTAAACGGGGAAGTGAACAATTATTAAAATCAGTGTTTAAAATTCAATACGCTGTAGTGTTACTAAAACTGGGCCGATTTAAACTTTTTATTTTCCAATTTTGTCGTAAATTTAATAAAATGTTACCGAATGAAAAATTGGAAGAGTTAAATACAAAAGTATATTCGTTCTACCAAAGTAAAAAAAAAAAAAATAATAAATAAAATGGTCAAGTAGTATTAACCAACTTACCTTAAATTTTATTGACTAAAACACTTTTTTTACGTCTAGACCGATTTTGGGCAACAGTAATCTAAATTATCCATGAGATATAAACCATATTGGATTACTATCATAAAATAGATTGACAAATTAGTTTTAATTTTTTTTAAGTGATGTTAAGATACACACAATTTAGTACAAGGTATAATTGATATTTCATAGTAGAATAATAAGAAAAAAGTATGGACTATCGTATTTTATGAGTTTAAATTAAAAAAAAAAAAAAGATCGGATAAGTAAATTTTTGTTACGAAAATGAATATTAGATTACTTTTTAGTGTCCTTTAAAACACTAAAATACGAATTTTAAAATAAATTAAAAACTGCAAATTTCAGTACTTGATTTTCTATCATTACATAAAACATTCATAACTTTTCAGGATTTCTTCCGATATTTACGTTACCACAACCGTAAATAAAAGAATCTGTCAATAAAATAAAAAAGAAATAAGGTGAATATATTTTTTTTAATATTGAGAAGAGGTCAGGTAGATGGGGCTGACGATGACTTATTTCCTTAACAGTAAAAGATTAAAAAAAAAAACTTAATATTTCTAAACATGTAACTTCATAACTTCTGGATTAAAGTAAGTTTAGAACAAAGTTAAAAACCGTCAGTCATCGTTCAAGTTGCCCAAACTTGAAATAAGTTCATGAAATTTCAACTCTTTACAGAGTTCCTTCTTAAGAAGTATTGGGAACACTCCGATTTACTTTAAATAAAACTTCAGCTTCTTCTTTAACGTCGACAGTTGTTTTGAGGATAAGATTAAAATAAAGTTTTATATTAAATGAATTGCACTCATCGGTCACATGTTTTTATTTTATATCCGTTTGGTTGGTTAAAAGGCATTTTTCTTAGTTAGGCTATTATTAATTATTGATTGCAGAATTCAGAAATATATATATATATATATATATATATATATATATATATATATATATATATGACAATGAGTTTGAAATTAAATTAATGGGTAATATTAATTTAAACCTAATATCATTATATAAAAATATATTAAACAATAGTAAACAACTCTAATAATTACTTTAAAATCATCAAAAATACATTTTTTTATTTATGTAGACAAGAACTATTGGATTTATTATTAAATTCATGTTTGTTTAAAGGTTTTTAAATAATATATTTATATTTCAGGGGTTAACTAACGTTAATCCACCCCCTAAATGATATAGAGACTTCACCGGTTTGGATTTTGGTCCGACTGCCATAAAACAATGGATTGGACTTGGCTTCTTACTTAAATATTTAAAAAAAAATAATTTATTTATTTATTTTATTTTATCCTATATTCTTTTCTGTTTAAAACTCTCTACATTGTTGAAGAAACTTAAAAAGAAAAACAGCAAAGATTACATCGAAATGCTGACGGTAACGTAACATTTTAAAAATTAATGACCATACAAAAATGTTTATTATCTGAAGTATGTTTCATTTCATTGCGTTAAAAAGTTTAACAAGATCTCTTCGTTTTGTGTCAAATAGCATTTCTATTTCAGGTTCAGTTGGGTGGAAATCATAGTTAAGAATTTACTTGCAGTTCAGCAATGAATGAAATAACATTTAAGCATTCTAATTTAAATATGAATTTAAGTATCATGAAGGAATGAAATAATTTTGCAGCTAGATGTAAACAATGAAAGGTTTTGATTAATGTCTTCCAACACTAATAATATATATATATATTAAGGCTTCCTCACCTTTTAGGCTATACAGGGATGAAAATGGGGATTAATTCAATAGCCCTGGAGCCAGGGTCCAAAAATCGACCTGATCGCAGGCGAAGGTGTGATTGTAAATTACGAAAGTGTATGTTATTCTGAGTAAAAAGAACCTTGTCTGCCGTTCCTGAACCATTGTTTTAAAAAATGGCGGCTGATTTAAAGGATATCAGGCCAATAATTTGAGGATCAAAACGGGAAATTCATTGCGAAGAATGTGGGAAAATTATTTATTTTTTTAATTTATATATCGAAAAAATCTGACTTTTTTGGCTGTAAAAAGTTTTTCCTTGGTGGCCCGCGTTAGCAATTTTGTTATGTCCAAACCAATATATAAAAGTTAACTTCATTAAATTATATTGACGACAAAAGCTCATTGAAGGAGATCAGATGGGTGATTAAAATTAGAGCTGATGTTTTGAACTTAAATTATAAACATTTCCAGCAAAGAAATAATAATTGTAGCATGTGTAATACAAACTAAAACAGAAGATCTCTATCACTTCCTGGCTGCTTGTCCGATACTCTCTGAATTTAGAATTAAATGGTTAAAGTCTAGACATTTATCTCGGGATCAAGTAATTGATTTATTAAATGGAAACAATTGGATAGCATTGGTAAATTACTGCAAGTCTGCTTTCTCCTATAGAATAATGCTCACCAGAGAATCTAACAATTAATAAATTGGAGAATTTTGGTACCACTGTTTTTGTAATTAAAATATTTGTATAACTTTTTACATTGTAAATATAATTGTTCTTATTTTTCTATTAAGTATTTGTATATAAATAGACTGAAATATAATTTTTTTATGAAACACAGACTCCTCTGATTTTCACAGCACTTCTGATTTTCGGTTTCAAATCCAAAAATATTATTTTGTATTGTATTGTAATTTATATTTTGTAATTTTGATAAATAAAAAGACTTTTTCTTCTTCTTATATAAAAGTTAATAAAATGAAAAGTTTTCTCACATTTTTCGCAATGAATTTCCCGTTTCGATCCTCAATTTATTGGCCTAATATTCTTTAAATCAGCCGCCATTTTTTAAAGCAGCTGCTCTGGAACGGTAGACAAGGTTTTTTTTACTCGGAATAACATACACTTTCGTAATTTACAATCAAACCTTCGCCTGCGAATAGATCGATTTTTGGGCCCTAGCTCCAGGACTACCA